TTCCCTCATTTATTTGCTGCCTCCTTCCCTTGTCCCTCCCAGGTGAGAACACGGTGTTTACGTACCTGTGGGATGGGGAGGTGTTACCAAATGGAGAGGAAAGAGTTTTGAGTAAATAGAGGAAAGAGTACATTTAAAAGCTGTGCACACATAGATCTGTTTCTTTCTTCTTCTTTTTAATCATATCAACGAGAGCACACCTCCTCCTAGAAAGAGGAGAGGAAAACAAGATCAAGTAACATATTAAGGAAGGGACCCCATGTTGTGTCACCTGGAGGATGTATACCCAGATCCCTTTACAGTGGGCACATAATCACAGAATCACAGAATCTTCATGGTTGGAAGGGACCTCTGAGATCATCGAGTCCAACCATACACACACACACACAAAAACCAAACCAAAAACACAACACCAAACACAAAACACCCAGCCCAACAATCTCGGGCACTAGAGCATGCCCTGAAGTGCCACGTCTACACGTTTCTTAAATCCCTCCAGGGATGGTGACTCCACCACCTCCCTGGGCAGGCCATTCCAGGGCCTGACCACCCTCTCAGGAAAGTCATTCTTCCCAATATCTAATCTAAACCTCCCCTGCCCCAACTTCAGACCATTTCCTCTGCTTCTGGCATGATTCCCTTGGGAGAAGAGGCCAACCCCCACCTCTCTCCACCCTCCTTTCAGGGAGCTGTAGAGGGCAATGAGGTCTCCCCTCAGCCTCCTCTTCTCCAAACTCAACATGCCCAGTTCCCTCAGCCTCTCCTCGTAGGACTTGTTCTCCAGACCCCTCCCCAGCTTGGTGGCTCTCCTCTGGACACGCTCCAGCCCCTCAATGTCCTTCTTGTGGTGAGGGGCCCAGAACTGAACCCAGCCCTGGAGGTGAGGCCTCACCAGTGCCCAGTCCAGAGGCACCATCACTGCCCTGCTCCTGCTGGCCACGCTGCTCCTGACACAGGCCAGGATGCTGTTGGCCTTCTTGGCCACCTGGGCACACTGCTGGCTCCTGTTCAGCCGGTGTCCACCAACACCCCCAGGGCCTTTTCTGCCAGGCAGCTCCAGCCACTCTGCCCCCAGCCTGGAGCGCTGCAGGGGGTTGGTGGGACCGAATCAGACGGTCTCTCCTCCAATATCTCTGGAACATTGAAAGCAAAATAGGCCAGTGTAATTCTTCACCCTAACTGAGTTACTTGGAGGAGCTGCCTAAGGAAATGGCACACCACCTAAGGAGTGGTGTGCCACCACTCTCTGTTGGATATGAAGGGCACTGCTCAGCCACAGACTGCTGGCTTCACTGCCAGCGCCTGGCATCACCATCACACGGCATCACCATCACACGGTGTCACCATCACATGGCATCACCAGCACTCAGCGTGGCTGGCACCCATGGCCAGCTCCGCGTGCTTCCTGGCACTCCGCCTGATGGACCAGGCAGTACCTGGGAATCATGTCTCCCCTACATTACCAACTTTCTACCCTCTCCACCTGTGGAAAACTGACGGTGGACACAAGCTAAAAAACATCCTCTTGCTTTGAGGCACAGACCTTGCAAAAAGGCGTTATCGGATTTTGATGAGCTTTAAAGCAGATGCTGTTACTGCAGCTACTCACGCACTCAGCCTGAAGGACTGGGCAGTGCCTCGGAATCATGTCTCCCCTGCATTACCAACTTTCTACCCTCTCCACCTGTGGAAAACTGACGGTGGACACAAGCTAAAAAACATCCTCTTGCTTTGAGGCACAGACCTTGCAAAAAGGCATTATCGGATTTTGATGAGCTTTAAAGCAGATGCTGTTACTGCAGCTACTCACCACCAAAACCGTACAGCACTATTTCAGATAAACAGCATGTCATGTGTGAGCTACCGTGAAGTTTCATCAATATAAATGTCTCTCAGCATTTAGAATAACTATGCAATTCTTTTTCGATTTACCATATGTCATGGTTTAACCCCAGCCAGCAACCAGAAACACACAGATGCTCACACACCCTTTCTCCCCCAAGAAGGGTGGGAAGAAGAGGGAAAAAAAGAGAGGGAAGGGAGAAAAAAAAACCTTGTGGACTGAGATAAAGACAGTTTAATAGAAACAATAACAGAATAGGGAAAATAATATTTATAATAACAACATGGGTCACTCTCACCGCCCAGTGAATTGGCACCATCCGAGTGGTGATCACGGATTCCCACCCCCCCAGCAGCCCCCCATTTATATACTGAGTATGATGTTCATGGTATGGAATATTTCATTGGCCCCTCCATCCTGTCTATACTTCTATGGGAAGCTGAAAAAAGTTCTTGAATAGTGTAAACATCACTTCGCAACAACTAAAAACAATAGGTATTACTGACATTCCTTTCATAGCAATGCCTAGAAAGAAAATTTACTCTTTCCCAGGTGAAACAAGGACACCACACCATGGTTAAAACAAACAGTGCCAATAAATTCACATCCTTAATGTTCCATTTTAAAATAAAAGGAACCATAAGCTTTTGGCACTGGATAGGCCCATGGCTTTGACAGATTAAAATTGAACATGCTGTATAAAGGAAACTGATAACCCAGAAGCAAGTCTCTCAGAAACTCTCCAACCCTTGTCCATCAGAAATGGCCAGTGAGTCTAGATCTAGGGCTTCCAGGCAGGGCTTCCAGCTCACTTGCACATGAAGGGCTGCCTTCAAAAGCCAGGTGCTTTTTCGGTCTCCTCATTGCCCTCCATCCTTTAGTATCACAGGGACCTGGAGGTCCCCAGTACTTCCAGCAGTTGCCCACTTATCACGGGTGAGCGTTGTTACCATCATGAGGAGCTCTGGTTGCTTCTCAGACACGTGAAGCTGATCAGGATCATGCACTGGCAGGGCAGAAAAAGTGTTAGAGGGCAAGAAATGGAGACCCTTTGCCAGCCACAATAGCCAGATAAATACTTAGAATCTGTAGTACCACTGAGAAGATTTAAGGGGGAGTGAGAACCTAGATAAATCGGACTTACATTACGCAGGTTTACCTCCAAGCACAAGCAAATTAAGCACCTGCAGAAAGTACCTATGCTAGTCCCAGAAAGCTAGGTGTCTTTGGCAGATGCAGCCTGGCCCTGTTTCCAGAAACAAGAGCAGCAATACTCAGAGACAGGTATAATTCTGCACAGCCTAAACTGACTCCTAGGATGAATTATTTCCTCTCCCATCACCAAAAGACTGATAAAAATTATTGGCCCAGAACACGCAGGTAGATCACTCTCAATGTAGCTTTACTGAAAAGCAGAAAATAAAACCAAACTCAGCAATTCTATTATGGGCAAGGAAAAATGACAAGCCTGGCAGGAAAATGTCATGTAATATAACAGAAACTGGAGGTTTGCAGTCTAACTTCAGACACGCTACCCAAGTTTTCTTTGAAAAGCCTGTTACAGTTAGATGTAAAAGCACATGGGTTCTCCCTCTGCCCTCCCCAGGGCAGATAAGCAATCAAAACAAACACATTTATTTGAGGGATCTGTTAATCCTCTACATAGACAACATTTCACCATGCAAGTTATAGTGGGCTTAGTGTTCCCTGAGCACTGAGAAGCTTAACGCCTCAGTCCAGTCCTTATCCCATGAGCACAACCACAAAATCCAAGCCATGTCTGCATGTCCTGAGGTTACCGAGGAGGCAGGGATAAAGGCCATGTTTGGTCTCTCTCCGCACAAAATCCCGCACTTCATTCCACCAAAATCCCTGCTCCGTGGTAAAAGTGAGAGGGTGGAGGGAGCCGGGTACAAGGTTTGAGGAAGACAAAGGGTGTATATTCACTTTTGCTTAGGTTAGCAGGAATAGTCATCAGAATCAATTTCTCCCAAAGCAAAAAAGCTTCTTATCTTGTTCTCTAAGAGTGGAGCAGCCATCCCTGCATAGCTGTGGGGCAGAGCTGGCTGGGGGAGAGCATGTGCCCTTAGGGGCTCTGGGCTGGAGTCAGGGAGGCAGAGCTTTACTGGGGAGAAGCAGAACCCTTTCAGAAATGCTGCCAAACCTGAAAGCTCAGGGATCCTCCACAGAGCATACCTGCCAGGCACGAGCTGCTGCTCGGGCTCGCTGAAGAGTTTGAAGGTGGATGAAGAGGGTAACTCTGCTGGGAGGTGAAGGGATCTCCCCCCAACAGCCTTTCCAAGGGTCCAAGGGACCTTTCTGCTTCTGTGCGTGGGCCACCTTGTCACCCTGGAGCTACGGACCTCCTATCTTCCTGCATCTCACCCTCATCTCTCAGGCGCACAGGTTCCTTCTGGATATGGCACATAATCAAGGAAGAAAAGGTCACTGGCTGAATCTGGGGCTGTCCAGACACAAGCAGGTTTTATTTGGAAGCGTGTTTCTCAGCGCTGGCCCTGACCCTGTCGTCACGTTCCCACTCTGTGTCAGGGGGAGCTGGTTTTGCAAGTTCAGCTGCAAAGTGCTGGAAGGAAGAGGAGGGCTGCCGGTGTGTAGAAGTGCTCTGACGTGTGCTCCCCTAAATGCAGAGGTTTTAGTTCAGAAAGAGGAACTGGGTCAGGCTGGTAGGCAAGCTGAGGGAAAGGAAAAAACAAAAAGACTTTTTTTTTTCGAGCTGAGGGAAAGGAAAAAACAAGAAGACTTTTTTTTTTTTTCCCTATATGCCACATTGAAAGATAGTAAAGCCATTGCCTTGGGCGTTATCTAGAAAGGAGGAGTCGAAATCTGATAGTCACTTGTGATAGCATGAATGCGAAGTCAGAAAGGCCAGGCAGCTTAAGGCCATGTCAGCAGTGATGTTCACTGCTGGAGACAGGATGGAGGCATAAGTGGAGCCTTTGCTGAAACCACTGAGCACCTTATGCACCATGTAGCCATGGAAAAATACTTACAGACCGTGAGGAATGGTATCACAGAGAAAACGCTGAGCTGAGAAAGGGGAAAGGGAGAGCAAAGTGGCCGTGGGAGCTCATCTCCTGGGCTTGTCCTGGGACATGAGCTGCATGTGATGCCCATGCGAGGCTGAATCAGCTTTAAGCAGCTGTTAGGTAAATCTCTTCTCCCCTGAGGGCACACTCCGTGGTGGGGTGGTTCTGGCAACCAAAGGCTGCTCTTCTCTTCCCTTGGATGAGGGTGTTACCATCAGCATCACAGTAGTGAGTGGATCTTCCTCTGAATAAAAAAGAAGACTTGGCTTTGATCATATGGTGTGGACTTATCTACCTCTGTCAGGCAACTGCTTTTATTTATCTCTGCCTTCTTAAATGCTATTATCTCAATCACAGCACTGCTACATGCCAGTCTTTTGAATACCTGTGCAGAAAGGCAAATTATTTTCCCAAAGTAGGAACCTGTTTGGGAAAAGATGTAATAAAAACCTTTTCAGTTATGATGTATTTGGCACTGATTAAGAAATTTCATTTGTATGTAATTGGTGATAAAAGGTATCTTTATTCCAGTTTTATAAGTAAGATAAGTGAGGCATGGAAAAATTAAGTGACTTGTATAGAAAGGCTGTATAGAAAGCCTTGCCCATGGCTGGGAGAAGACACATAACTAGTCTCCAGTCCCAAACCTTTTAAGTGTCTTTACTACTTTTTCCTGACAAAAATTCAGGAAGATGAATCCTGTTGAAAATGAGAATATTCTGTGAGAACAACTTCAGACAGTTTCCCGTAAGCAGCAACTAATGAATGCTGCTTTTCCTGTGGATTTGCATCCTGAAAGCTGAACTTCTCATCCCCAGCAGACTCCCATGACACCAACACCCTTCCCCCCAGCTCCCTCCCACATCTGCTTGTCTCCTGGGGCCCAGCCTCAAGCCCCAGCAGCTCTGCTGCTGCAGGAGAGCTGATGGAGACCACCATCCTTCTCTTGGGGAAGGAGGTGACTTTGGGCCTCTCTCTTCTTATCTTTTTCTGCACAGTAGATGGCCTTCATGGAAAAGTCATCTCTTTGCAATCCCTTCTTTGAAATGTGGTTGGATGCATTCAATGCCAACTGGGAGATTTATCAGCCTGCTCGACTGTGTTTGCCCCACTCCAGTGGATTTTACCTCTCTCTGGATGTGCCCATGGTCCCAGCAGAACCCATACTCTTTTTAAATTTACCAGTGTTACCTATACCTGCAAAAAGGTTACAGGTGCTCTGATGTCTTTTTTCCCCATATATCGATAACCTGTAATTTGTTGGCCATGTGAGGTTTTATCTCTTTTACCTTTTATCTCATTATCATCTTCTACTCCTTTTCCTTGTTTTCTCTTTCTTCCACCGCTCTCTCATCTCTCCTCTTCCATCCCCATTGTCCCATCTGCTGAGTGCCATCCCCTCCAGCAAATGGTCCTTCTGCTCACCTCCCACTCCCCGGGGCGGTATTTCCCAGTAGGAAGCAGGGCATCCAAACTGCAAAGGGCCCTCTGTCATGCAAAGGGACCAGTTTAGAAATGAGATTCAGAGACCAGAAAGTTCAGAGGAGGCCTCTGTTCTGGGCTGAAGGGGATACTTGGTGTAGGAGAGCCTGATGGTGCTGCCCATGCCATTGCACAGCAATAAGGCGGAGACCCAAGGAAGGTGCGTTGACTCCTCCTTTTGGAGGAAAAAACTTTCTGAGTGAACATGTGATGGGGCTGCCTGTGACAGAAAGGGTTAGGTTCAGTGACACAGGTAGTCCCTTCCAGTAGCATATTTCTTCACTATCTCTCCCATACCCTCAACACTCCTAGATTTGCAGTCTGGGACTTTACCACAGGAAAAACAACATCTTTGGTTTAAGAGGCTCTGCCTCCAGTTATTAAATTATTAAGAACAAAACAAAACAAAACAAGAACAAAACCCCCCTTGCCTTTGGGCATAGGGTTGGGGTTTTTTTTAAGTCTTGATGCTTCTCAGATCCTTCTGACAATCTTGATAGCAATCAGCTCATGACTCATCTAGTGCTTCAAAGATCATTACTAACCTCTTGAAGTACTCTTGCCAATAGAGCAGACATCCAAGCCCCCAGATTACATAGTCATCCTAAACTGTATTACCGTAGCTGGGAAGGGAAAAAGGGAAAATTGGTCTGTACCAGACCTCATTTCAGGGTAGACTTCAATATCAGCTCAAAGTTGAAGACATTGTAGCATTTAGACCCTCAGAGAACTAAATTGTGGCTGACTACAGTAAAGCCCACCTTACTGGAGATGGATCCAGTCTCTTCCCCCGACATAGCAGCTTGAAGTGATCATGATGAATTCAGCAGTACCCACTAGCTGTGATCTATTTCAAGGATTATCTCGATATATCTTTGAGCAACATTTCATACAGGATCAGCTTCCTTGCACAACTCCCGTTTTAGTTCCTTTGCCTTACTTGTAGTTCATAGTCATCCATATGTCAGGTGCCTTCCATTGAATGGAAAGACAATGCTGGACTGAGTATCTACGGTACAACAGTGACAATAGAGGCCCCACAACGTCCTATCAGCCCCACTGCCTTTGTTTAAATCACAAACAGGCAAGGTAATCACTTATATGTCTCAGGCAGATAAATAGTTGTATCTGCTTGGAAAAAAAGGATGAAAACCATGAAGGGTCACAGAATCATAGAATCACAGAATGGTTTGGGTTGGAAGGGACCTTAAAGATCATGGAGTTCCAACCCCCTGCCCTGGGCAGGGACACCTCCCACCAGACCAGGTTGCTCCAAGCCCCATCCAGCCTGGCCTTGAACCCCTCCAGGGATGGGGCAGCCACAGCTTCTCTGGGCAACCTGGGCCAGGCTCTCACCACCCTCACAGCAAAGAATTTCTTTCTGGTATCTAATCTAAATCTCCCCTCTTCCAATTTAAAACCATTACCCCTTGTCCTGTCACTGCACTCCCTGACAAAGAGTCCCTCCCCAGCTCTGCTGTAGCCCCTTCAGATACTGTAAGCTGCTCTGAGGTCTCCCTGGAGCCTTCTCTTCTCCAGGCTGAACAACCCCAGCTCTCTCAGCCTGTCCTCACAGCAGAGGAGCTCCATCCCTCTGATCATCTTCATGGCCCTCCGCTAGACCCATTCCAATGGGTCTGTGTCCTTTCTGTGCTGAGGACTCCAGAGCTGGACACAGAGCTCCAGGTGGGGTCTCACCAGAGCAGAGGGGCAGAATCACCTCCTGTGACCTGCTGGCCACGCTTCTCTTGATGCAGCCCAGGATGAGGTTGGTTTCTGGGCTGCCAGAGCACATTGCCAGCTCATGTTGAGCTTCTCATCCACCAACACCCCCAAGTCCTTCCCCTCAGGGCTGCTCTCCAGCCATTCTCTACTGGCAAATGGCACCCAGTGTTTCACTATCAGAGGTTATTCCAGCACAGCGTTTATTAGTGGGTAGCTCTTACCTCAGAATGTCCTGAACCACCCATGAAATTGGCCAGTGACCTCAAGCGCAGCTTAGAAAGGCTTGTTAATGGCTCGCACTGCTTTCCAGCCCACTGCCCCGGAGTGTCTTCGTATCAGGAACAGATGATTCTAATATGTCTTTCCACTTTGAAAAATAGTTGGCACTGCAAGTAGAAGAAAAATGCTTAGAATAATGTTTGTAATTGCTGTTTCAACATGCTATTCTTTGGGGTTTTTTTTTTTCATAAAACCTTTACCAGATGTGGCTTCTTTCCTAGATATTCCTTTCTCACATTTCCTCTTTAGAAACTTAAGTGCCATTCTAGCCACAGTTTGTGGGCAAATATTAGCTTCCATTTCCTTTTCTTTTATAAATACTAACGTTGGTTTGTAATGCAGTTTATTTCTTTTTTTGTAAAGAAAGTGAAAAGAAGCAGGAAGCCTCAAATGATCTTGAAATGCTTTTCTTTGTGACTGTTTCTTTTTCCAAATACCTCATTTCTCCTCCTTGTGTGCCTTTGTAAGTATTTAACAAAACAGGGGTAAGGTGGTTATTTGCATAGCATTTTCATTTCTACTTTTTTTCCCAGTTTTATGCTTCCTCACCATCCACATGAAACACGTGGATAACACATCTCCAAAAAGCCAAACAGATCAGCTTAGGCAGCTTGAGCTCTTCCAAACCGAATAAATGCATCATTTTTGCTAAAGCATCTTGTGAACTGAGGTGGTTCTACTGGTCTGAAGGCAGTTCTTTATGAGGATTAGCAAACGTGGAGAGTGCACAGCTCTCCTTTTCCTTTCACCCAGTGCAGCCATGTACAGAAATCCATTGCTTTTGTTCCTTCGCTAGTCAAAGATTCACTGGAGAACAATTTACTGCTGATGAATTTTTAAGCCATTTGCTGCCACTTACTGGATAACTAGACATTCTGCTTCATAAAAAGGAAAAAAAGAATCAGCAATAGTCGTACGATGAAAATCACAGTAGGCATCGCCTCAAGCGTGTGTCAATGGAAGAAAAATGTCAAGGGCAAAATGATCATTAAAGTTGTTCCACTCACTGGAGAACGAGTTCCTCGTTAATAAGTTACAGCTATAAAATGCTTGTAAACTATACTGCCTTGTTTCACTTCCTCCTTTCCTGCACCGCTCCGTACTGGCTGTGCAAATCTCTTGGGAGCGGCAGCGGGCAATCGCAGTATCTGAGTGGAAGGAAATTGAATCCATTTACAGAAGCTAGAGATAAAGTAACATCTACCAGGAAGAGAGAGTACATTTTCCTACCTTTTTCATTTTACTTCCACACGACAATTCTATGATTCTATGATGTTATTTCCTGAGGACGCCAGTACTGATGGTATTGCTATTTCCTTAATGAAATGGGAAGTTTCTTTTATTTTGGTGTATCACCTGGAGAGTTTTAATCCAAGCTGCCATTAAAAAAGAGATGGTTAAAAGAACATTAGAGGCTGCAAAGCAAAATATTTACAAATAGTAGCCAGGACTAAGAAGACAGAAATAAGAAAGTTCATTTGCACTACAGTCTAGTCTTTGTCATGCAAGGACATACTGTTTGGACAGAATTATTGCCTAACTGGGAATGGGATGGTGAGATACAGCCCACAAATATTTGGTCTTTCCTCACTTTTCAGTCCCTCTTCCCTTACCTACTATACACTACTGAAACCCTGATCTGAAGGCAGAACTATTAATTTCTTCCCAGTATGTCCTGCAGAAGTGTTATCTTATTATCCAAGCACACCACAACTGCAAATTAATTTATTTTTCATAGCGCCTCTTTGGGAATAAGAGAATTGCTGTGAATTTCTCATTTCACAGCTGAGACATAATCAGTAGCGTCCACAATATTTTTATAAATGGAGCTGCCAGGTCTCAAGCAGACAGTATGGAAGAGAGAAGTACCACCAGTAGCCACTTTTGAAGTCTGATTTTAGCAGGGTGTATGAGGTTTCTTTGCCAGAGCCAAGGACAGAGCACAGTTCTGCAACACAACACTGGTGTCCTTGGCTGCACCTCTTGCAGCTCCTCCAACGAAAACAGCCAGGGTCCAACAGCTTCTTGCAGTCAATAAACATGATCCATCCTCAAAACAGGTCCATGATGTTCATCAGTTGAGCTGGGATCTCAGGACAATACCAAGTGATCACATATTTAAAACTTATGGACTGGAAAAGGAGCAGGCGTCTGACTTTCCCTTTGCATGGTGGCCCATGGGCAAGAGACTTTGGCATTTCCCTGTGTCTCACTACCCAGATTTTGAGGTTGATCTTTTCTATTTCAGCTTCCCTGAGGCCTTTCTGATAGGTCAGGAGACGGCAGGCCTTGCTTCCTGGTGACACAAACCAGTCGAACTGGGCAAGCAGGGAAGATTTTACATCAGTTCAGCATGTCCCCCAAGACCAGCCAGCTCCTTCAGTAGAGCACAGGACCTTCCTAGTGCCTGCTGTTGATGTGATAATGTCCCCCAAGTTGTTTCCACATATGACCGGCCAGCTCCTTCAGTAGAGCACGGGACCTTCCTAGTGCCTGCTGTTGATGTGATCATCATCCTGGGAGCTTGTTATGGTGTTGTATATATAGTGCATATTTCATTATTTTCTTTTTGATATTTTATTAATATTTGCATTAAAGTGGTTTAGTTTCTTTTCAACTTATAAGTCTACTACAAAGAACAAAATGTGGGATATGAGAAATGATGACTTTGGGGTGCAATGTTTCCTGTTGCACAGAGGGATGTAAAGTACACATTAAGATACTTCACTGTCATGGTCTGACTAGTAACCAACCCATTCCTCTATATTGCTTTCTCACTTCCTCACTGAATCATCACAGCATTTTTAATAATTATCGTTTGTTGTTTTTAGCAGCAGAAAATGTTGAGAAATGAGAGAAATGTGAAATCTTGTGTCTTAAGGGTCACCCTGTAACAACAAAGCTGTCTCTAGTTCTATTAATAAGCAACTTACCTAATGACAATCTTAAAAAACTGCAAAAACCAAACTCTTTTTATACATGCTAGATTTCTCCCAGACAGCATTGCATCCCTCATCTCCATAAAGCAGAAAAGTATTCAGAAGTGGGGCATAACCAGTGGAGTAACCTCCAGGGCAACCATACTGAACTTATTCATTAATTGTTTCATTTATTCATTGCATGGATTTATTTAAAAACAAAAAAAACCCAACACAAACCAACCATACCCAAGGTCAGGGCATTTGCTGGTGCTGTGCACACAGCTGGCTATGGAGCAGCTATGGAGTGAGGCTGTGTCTCAGCCCTATTCCATGGCCTTCACAGCTCCAAACAAGACTTGTCCAAGGAGCATGGGGTCATGTAGCCTGTGCTGCCTGCACGGGCAGGGAGGATGCAAGGAATGCTGCATTGTGGCTTGGGGACTGAAGATGGTGAGATAACAGCAGCCTCTGGTAGGTATGAGGGGTGAAGGAGCTTCCTTTCCCTCCCTGTTGGACTCCAGCAAGGACAGCCTGGTGTACAAACAGTCCTGGCTCAGGAAAAATGCTCTGTGTCCACTGATGAGCGAGGTGGCATTTGAGTTTTGCCTGAAGGCACAGCCATTTTTAACGTAGCTGCTGGACTGCTTTCTGGTCGTAAAGCAGAGTAGTTCCTACAACAGGACAAGCTTTGTCATTTGTTGGGTGTGCAGAAAGCTGCACGCTCACCGCGTGGGATGCTGCACTGCATGCCTTACTTTATGTTGACCTTACTCATGATCAAAAAGCGCTATGAAGAAAAATAAACTAAATCCAAACCTTCAGACCTCCTAAACTGTCTTCTATATACTCTTTTTTTTTTTTGCTGTTTTTTAAAGTAAGTCTTGAGTGAAAAATGAATTGCTGCAACTCCCTTGAGCTTTAGCTTTTCCTTCTGCCACAGGTGTAATGGAAAAATGACTCTTAGTGGGGAGACACCATGGTGTCCAAGGGGAACAATATGTCCATCGTGACTCCCCCCCTGAGACATCCTTAGGAAGTGTGTTCTGCCAGCAGATGCCAAAGGTAAGCTGTGCCATATGACTGACACCACATCCAGCTGGTTAACGTGCCAGGATCAGAACAGAAGAGACGGCACATACTAAAGTACAGACATTCACAGCTGGAAAATGGCATCAGGAATGACCTAACGGGCCAGGAGTGTTTCTGTGCATCAGCTGAGTTTAAATTTCAGATTAATATGCAACTACAGTAAGCTAGAGGCTCAGGAACCACGGGAAAGATGCATTACCTACAGAAATCACACGCAGTACTGGTGTTTAGAGCAGCTTGAGGGAGCTGGTTTCTGCAGTGATATCATACATGCCACATCAAACTCTTTCCAAACCACGTGAGGTCTGAAGCCGACAGCCTGTCCCTCTGGCAGCTCAGGTACCAGTGGGGAATTCTGCCTGTTATTAAAACTGCAGACATCCAACTGCCTGCTGTGTCTGGCAGACTGTGTTTTAAACACCCTTGAGAGAGGAAGGTCAGCATGAACTAGGTTGGACGCAGCTCTGGCTGTGGACGTGCCGTGAGCTCTGGATGCAAGCTGCTGTCAAGCTAGAAGCAGACGCACTCAGCCCTTCCCAAAGCTGAGCTTAAAAGCCAGAGGAAAGGACAGATTCAGTCATTTAGCTCCTCCACCTTAGTGTGGACCACTAGGACCACCAGGACCACCACCTTAGTGTGGACCACTAGGACCACTAGGTCCACCACCTTAGTGTGGACCACCAGGACTTGGACTCAAACCTCTAGTCTGAAAGAGGTCCCCTTGGTGGGATGTGCACACCAGCCCGCCCAGCCAGAGCCAGTGACTGTGAATACCCTGGATATTAGGAGCCGGGGTGCAGGAGTTTGCCATTCCCAGTGCCCCCAGAGCTCTGAAGGCAGCCCCGGGTTTCTCTGTACCCGGAACATCATGTGAAGGAGAAAGTTTACAGAAATGGGACAGCACCGTGTTTTGTTAACCTGTGTGACTAAGACGGTGACGTTTGTCTTACATTTTCTACTCAAGATAAGAGCTTTCCTCCAGCAGCTGCTGCCCTTTAGTTCAAGGTGGATGGGTTTGACTATAATAAGCAAAATATAAACAAAAGTTATTGTTTCTAAAACCAGTTTTCTTCTGCCTTATTTGCACTCCAGGTTTCTGCGTTTTAAACAACTTTTCCGTCCCATGTTGGGCATATTCTCTTTGTTCCAAACACACATGCATATGTTTGCACTTGTGTGCAAACACATATATACAAAACCACACACACGTATATATATGTACAAATTCCCTACAGTAGTCACTAAACTGCAAATGATAGTTCTTTAATACTTTTATATATGCTGCCCAGTATAGTTGTACAGTGGACTTGAGGGGGATAATTCATTATTGAAGGTATAGTAATTTTTATTTTCTTAGATAAGATTTCCAAGTTCCTCTTCTTTGCAATTTCTGATTAGTTTTACAATACCAATAAATTTCAAAAATGCAGTAGAAACTTTGCATGGCTCCTCCTCTATTTTCTCAGCTCTTTTAGAGGAACAAAACATCTTTGAAATGCTTGAAATATTTCAGGTTTTTATTTCTATTTCTTGGTCTCCTTTTTTTTCCTTTGCCTAATTCCAATTTGGTTGTCTTCCATAAAAAGTACACCTATCAGAATAAACTCTTCAGAGAAAAAAAAATGATGCATTATTTTGCATATTTCCTCTTCAAACTAATTCCTATGAATCAGTTGACTGAGTATTTCTAGAAGTCATCAATTCATGATAAATTTTTGATAATAGTACAAATCTGAGAAGTAATGTTTTGATTGACCAACAGGTCACATAGGATTTCAGTGTTCTTCTACCCGAGGCTATACACTCAGAATCAGATTTCTGCTGCAGATTTGTGCTGTTACACTTTTGCAGATATTGTTGTCAGGATAGATCTGCTTCTTCACAGCTATTTTCAGGCCTCAGATTTCACAGGGACATGTGTAAGATGAATAGACACCAATTAATTTAGGAATTGTCTGCAAATATTGTTGTCAGGATAGAGCTGCTTCTTCACAGTTATTTTCAGGCCTCAGATTTCACAGGGACATGTGTAAGATGAATAGACACCAATTAATTTAGGAATTGTCATCTCTGCAAACATTGGTCAGTCATACTTCTTTTACAAGAATTTGCATTTAAAAACAAAAGCAAAAGAGCAAACTCTAACCAAATTTATATCAGGACTCAAATACATATGTAAAGAAAGCTTTGTAATTTCTTCGAATTCTGAGGGCAAGTTCGGAACATGATCATGGCAGCTTTTTGTAGGTTTGCATGTCTAAATCTTGTGTGTCTAAACAAAGAGGTTCTAATATAGAACATTCAGCTGATCACCACTGACTTACACTCCCTCATGCCCTAGCTCTTGGTGTCTCCTATT